AAACCACTTGTGAAGGTGACTAGATAGTATTCCTGGCCAAAATCTAGTATGTTTAACACTCGTCTCCTTGTCCACATCTGTTGTAACCGATTCTAAACATTTTAACAATTACTCCTCGTTCCCAAGGCTTTGTTATTCTCCTTTCCTCAAATGTAGACAACACAAATTCAGGACAATCATAATCACCAAGTTTGTATTCTTCAATCCTTATTCCTTTTTCTTTGATTTCTTCCTCCACCAAATCCTCTTCATATTTTAATCAGATCAATGTTTCTTTTATCATGTCAATCTTCTCACCCGTCACCTTGCTCATGTATGTGATTGTGCCATAACTACTTATTTTTCCAAGTTTTTGTTGCGTTATATCTTCGCTCGTCATCTCAAGAAGTGACATTGAAAAACAATTTTACACATTGTGCTACATGCTTTAAAACCTTATTCCCTCAACTTAATTCTTTTAGTTTGCATTTGCGAACTCTAGCGGGGATGACTTATGAACAAACCCTAATAGAACAAGACATCTTATTAAATTTGAAGAGATTTCTTACCATCTTATGTTAATGGTTCAATATAAATTATATACTTTAGATATAAAATAAAATACTTATTTGGTCTCATATTAAGTGTCTTATTTATATTTTTTGTCTCAAAATAAATATCTTTTTAGAATTCTAATACAACAATTATTATTTTTATATTATTATAACTCTATTTATTAGTTTTTACATTTTTCAACTACTCTACTAACTATAATAAATAAGAATATTTTAATAAATAATACTAATTTTATCATTAAAATTTAATCTAATCATTTTATTAAGAATCACCAAAAATTTAAATGAGACATTTATTATGAGACAAGATAAGTAATATTTAGTATTGTACTACAAAAATAAAATAATATTTTAGTATATTTAGTACGTAGGGGTAGGACGTATTTACGACCAAGTTGGAGGGGCTGTTGAGTCAAATCATTCCAAAAATATTTAAAAAAACAAGATAGAGTACTTGGGGGATATTTGTCAGTGAGAAGATCACAAATTCACAACACCCAATCGAAGCTCTTTCTCTTTCTCTTTCTCTCTCCCTTTCCTTCTTCTCCACACTCCTCCCCCATATTAACATTTACACACTGACACACACCACTCTCAGGTGATCCTTTCATTCCTTCCTCAATCCCCAAACCAACCTCAAATGCAAGAAATACATTCCATCGGCGGTAGTGGTACCGGTACCAGGTTCTTCGGCGGCGGAGGCGGTGACCGGAGACTCAGGCCACATCTCAACAACAACAATCCGAACAACCAAGCCTTGAACTGTCCTCGCTGCGACTCCGTCAATACCAAATTCTGTTACTACAACAACTACAACCTCTCCCAGCCTCGTCATTTCTGCAAAAACTGCCGTCGTTACTGGACCAAAGGCGGCGTCCTCCGTAACGTCCCTGTCGGTGGCGGTTGCCGTAAATCCAAACGCTCAAACAAGCCGAAAAACTCTTCCTCATCGGAAATCGCTGATTTGCCGACATCTCCACCGGAGCCGGAGAACAAATCGAACTCTCACTCAAGCAGCGAGAGTTCCAGCCTCACCGCCGCCGCGGTAACTGATTCAGTCTCAGAACCAACTCCACCAACCTCCAACACGAAAATCAACACTGGTTTGGAGATTGATTCACTGGAACAACAAGGAACAGGAGATTGCGGTATTTTCTCAGAGATTGCAACTTTCACAAGCTTGATCACTTCCTCCAACGATACATTACCGTTTGGATTCGGTCACGGTAACAGTAACTGTAACGTTAACGGTTTCGCCGATGCATCGTCGTTTAACTGGCAACATCAAAAGGTGATGACCGTTACCGGCGATCAGCCTCATCAACACGAAGATGCATTGAAGTTGTTACCGGAGAATCTCGGTACAGGTGGTGGTTCTTCTGGATCGTTGATGGACCACGGTATTGATTTCTCTGTGCTGCAGAGCAAAACAAGCAACGGTGGATTTGGATCGTTGGATTGGCATGGTGCAGATCAAGGTTTGTTCGATCTTCCTAACACCGTTGATCATGGTTACTGGAATCACACTCAATGGTCTGATCATGATCAGGATCAGGATCATTCCACTCTCTTTCATCTTCCATGATATGATTATCAAGCCAAATCAACTCAACTTTACTTTTCATCATTTTTCACTTTTTTTTTTTATAATTATTATAATATATTTAACTTAAAAGAATATTTGAAATCAAAACCAAAGTTTAAAAAAAAATGAAAGAAGAAATGAAGATGGAAGAATTTGGTATAATTAATCATGAGGTGTATATTTTGTTTTTTTCTTCTTTTTCATTTTGAAATTTGGGAGGTTATTAGCTTGATTTTAATTGCTGATGTGCATGCACAACTAACTTCCATGTTAGTTTCTTTATCTGATTTTCTTTTTTTGAGTTTGGTTTAATACATTGTTGTTATATTATTATTATTATTAAATGTATGTGGTGGAATTTGATTGTTCAGAGAAATAGAAAAATATAGTAACAATGTGTTTTTAATGTATGTCGGTTGTTTAGTTTCATAATCTTATTTTGCTTTGTTTAGAGATGCAAATCCTTCAATATTAGCGGGTAATACTTTGGTAATTATCTTTGTTGATGGGAATAATTAATTGAGTTAGTTACTAGTAATGAGTGGTAGAATAGCATGCGTGATGATTAATGCGCGTGTGGAAGAGAGAGAAAGAGTGTGACAAGACAAGAGATTTTGATGTAGGAGGAGTCGGTTGAGGAGTGTTGTCTTGTGGTGGGTTATTCTGGTCCTTAGCATAGTGTTGTCTTGTGGTGGGTTATTCTGGTCCTTAGCATAGTGTTGTTTAATCAAGTCTTAGTCACAGTGGCAATTTGAGAGAACAAGAGTAACCAAATAATTAGGGTGGTGGGGAAAGTGGGTTAGTGTATATTTTATATAATTTAGTTTGTATTCAATAAAAATATTAATAATTATGCCATTTCTTATGAGAAATGGAGAGGATATGAACTCAGTGTTTAGACAGTGGAGTGTCAACTCAAATGCTATTATGCATGGAAGGGTGGGTGTTGATTGTTGCCTGCTATGTCGGTTTAGATTAACTAAATTAAAATTAAAGACTTAAATTTATACACAACCTCTCTTATAAGTTTGCCTTCATAATTATTAGGGTGACACGTGTTGAAAATGACTTAGTATGGGAAAATTCTATTTTGATTAGAAAAATAAAGATTTAAATATTTATAAGTGATAGTATATTAACATATTTATTTTCTTAAGATTTTGAATAAATATATAGTATATTTTTTTTTATCAAAATAAGTTTATAAAAAAAGTCTAATAAGTTGTTTATAAAAAAAGTCTCCAGGAAAAAATATTGTCTCATATTGATCCCGATTTGATAACCCGAACAGCAAACACTCATACTTAATCCTTTTAAACTAGTGGCTAAAATCATGGTAATACAGGGTGGACATAGTTGAAAATGTACATAATTGAAAATGTGATTTGAAAATTTTAGTTTTCCCTTGAAAAATTGAGAGTGGGGTGGGCTTTGTATTCCTAAAGACCGGAGAATATGTGGACTCTAAAAATATGGAGATAGGATCCTCTTCATTTTCTCTCTATTTTTCCTCTTTATTATTATAGTTTTAAAAATATTTATAATGTATAAAATAAATAAATCTATCAAATGTCAATTATTACATTTATGTACGTGATAACTTTGGTAATATGCAAAAGAGAGGAGAGGGGAAATAAAGAGGATCTTGACTCAAAAATATGATGGTGGAGTGAGTTTTTTAACCCATAAAAAGGGAGAATGTTTCGACTTTGCACCCTTAAAATTAAAAGTTAAATATTTAGGCAATTTTTTTCACCCTTAGAGAGTGTATCACACTTTTGAAAATTTGAAATTATTTTTTAAGTTTTTTTTGAGATCTGTTTGAAAACGGATCTTATATCATATTATCTTTTGCAAATTAAACCGTCACTTTATTTTTGTTAAAAAAAATAATTCGGAGATGTATTTTCGAATTAATATTTAAATATATTTTTAATTATTTAAACACGGTCATTCTGTTTTTGCCAAAAATTAATTTGAATTTATCTTTGAAAATATTTTTGAATGTATTTTTAGTTATTTGAAATTACAATTTTTAGTTATTCAAACTCACATCCTAAAAAAATGAGAGAAGAAAATATATCACATCTGTTTACCACTCTAATGTAAGTCCATAAGTTTTTATCTCTTCCGCTGTCCATTTACTATTAGACTATTACTTCTCGGTTGAAACTTGGTCACTTAAAGTTCATAAACTCTTCGCAAAGTGTTTATAGTGAGAATCAAACCTTTCTAGGAACTTAGTCAATTTACTGTTTCAAGATGAAGTAAAAAGTGAATGGCGTCTTACATGTTATCATGGCTTTCCAGAGAGAATTCGAAGGAGTGAAGCGTGGGACATGTTATGTAGCCTGAGAGATATGTCTAATGTTCTGTGGTGTGTAGTGGGTGACCTTAACGACTTACTTTGGCAAGAAGATAAGAGAGGTATTCATCAGCATCATAATTGGTTGTGTGTCGGGTTTCGTGAAGCGGTTACTGACTGCAATCTCATAGATATCCCATTGGAAGGTCATCAGAAAAGCTTTTCTTTTAAATTTGAGAATCCTTGGTTAGAAGAGGAGGAGTTGGGCGGTGATGTAGAGAAAGGCTGGAATGCAAGTGTTATTGGTGATGTGTTACGGCGTATTAGCAGTTGTGCGATGGAACTTTCGTCTTGGAATAAAGTCAAGTACAATCAGAAGCGCGAGAGTTTGTCGCTCCATATGGCAGCTATGGAAGCAACTCGTATGTCTCATGATATGGCTTCTGCGATGCGGTTTATCAAAGCGCAACGGGAGTATAATAAAATCCTGGTTCGGGAGGAAATCTTTTGGAAATAGCGCGCAAAGACACATTGGTTATAGAGCGGAGACTCAAGCATGAAATTCTTCCATAAAACAGCCACGACTAGGAAGAAATTCCAGAAGATTGAGAAGTTACGTGATGAGGACGGTACTGAAGTTAGTAATCAGGAAGGATTGTGTAACATTGCTCAGGCTTATTTTGAGAAGTTGTTTGAGGTTAAACAAGAGGTTTATGAGGTTCTGAGTTGTATTCCTCAGGTGATTTCTTCTATTGATAATCACAGTCTTACTGCGCCCGTTACTAAAATGGAGCTTTATGAGGCTCTCCTTCAGATGCATCCTGATAAATCTTCGGGTTTAGATGGGTTTAACCTGACGGTTTACCAAATTTTTTGGGAGTTGTGTGGAGATGTGTTTACCGTTGTTTTTGATAAACAACCGCTGATTTCTAAAAGGGTAAGTTCTTTTTGGTTTACTTACGGGATCAATCAGATTAATCCCAGAACATATGCTAATTTTTATGTAAGATGGATAAGCAGGAAGAACGCACGTTCGACCCAGAGAAAAGATGTTTGAGATTTTGGAAAGGTAAACAGAAATGCAGGAATGCAGGTGAAAGAAGTAAAAAGATAACTTTGTAAGATAATACTAAAATAATGTAAAAGACTTTCATTAATGAAAAGAGGTGTTTCCAACATACATTTCTCAACCTTTATCCTTTCTCACACAGTAGTTACTTGGATAATGTTTGAGTGACTTAGTACAATCAATTGAACACCCAAAAAAACTACACAAGTTTCCTAATTTATACTTAAGACAACTAACCGTCGAGGGATCATTCTGTGCTAAGATGAAGACAAGTGTCTTCTGCATGTCCCTGGACCTATGACTTTCAGCCACGTTGCTTCTTCTTAGCCGCTGGCGAAACTGCCTTTCCCTCTAATAATTCAAAATTCAAATATCCCTCGTATCATGTGTCAAAGCGAAGATATTTTCCTATCCGTCGAAGGACATAAGTCCTCTTCAGTCGAACAGGCCTGAAGGTGAGTTCTGGTCGAACGTTCAAAAAATAACTTAGATTTTCCTCCTAAGTTATTTCATATGTCGAATATTCTCCTTGTTTATTCCAGTTTTTTGGTCTAAAAGACCAAATATAGTAAGTGTCGAATTTGGGAGCCAATAAATTGTCCCCCAAGAATGTCTATTTCGACGCTTAAAGAAATAACCATTCTTTGATCTTTCCGTTCGACACCTGTCTTTCTAGTTGTTCACAAAGTTTTGACGTGTGTTTTTCGTCTTCCAACAACTGCATGCTCTTGAAAAACCATCATTACACTTTTTCCAAGATGTCTTTTTTAACTGCCGTTACCACGCTCGCCATGATGACCATATTCCTATAGCCTAGGCAAGCATGTCAAAATGTTACCCAACGTATGCACGGTAACCGCTTCACCCTTCGCCACGTGCCCCACTATCTGCAGAACATTAAATGGCCTTGATGAGACATATCCCTCTCTGAAGGCTATAAATACCTCTGAGCCTTGCTATTTGGAACTTTTACCATTTCCAGCATTTCCAAATCTCTTGCTTTCAAACAACTTTGTACTGTCAACTTCGTTTACTTCCAAATCTTCAACAATGGCTTTCCTCTCCAATGCACCAAACAATCCTCAATCTAAAAATGCTGATGATGTCCAGAAACCACCAGAGGTCTTTTCCACTAACCCTCCTTCTTCCTCGATTGATAGGTATGTTGCTGAACCCATGACGAAGGAATGGCGAGAAGAATATGATTCTCAACTCCTTATTCCCATTAGATACGGTGGAAACATGTATGCTATATCTGGTCCGTTGTCTTCATGCGTCGAAAATCCTTCGAAGAACCACACCTTCTTCCCTACTCATCCAAGGCTTAGACCCATAGGTTGCGCGAAGAAGTCTAGGGATGATCCTGAAGACGCTACTCCGGCTAACCACCAGCATCCTCAAACTACAGAGGATATCAACCTCCAGTTCATGAACAAAGGGAACCGAATCTTTTGATCAAGCCCTAACCTCTCCTCTGAGTATTCAGACTGGTTGAATAAAATGGAGAAGGCGCAAGCTTCTGTCTGGAAGGAGATGGGCATTTATGACTTGGTGATGCTGTCGAAGACAGGATTGCCTTACTGCCCCCTCATGCTGGTATCTTCATTGTATTTCTGGGATAGCACACATTTCACTTTTCATCTTCCTTGTGGGATGATGACCCCCACTTTATTCGACATAGCTGCAATCACTGGTCTTCGACCGATTGGTGACTATTCGACCCTGAAGACTTGTATGAGGATGCTATTGGGTTTGCTGCTACAAAACCCACTTACACCACCTTTATTAACCACTTCCACGACAAAACTTCTAGTATTGTGTCGGAGGTGGAGCATATAGCCTTCTTGTCTATGTGGTTGTCTCGTTTTATTTTTTGTACTAAATCACTTCAGGTGACGAAAAAGATGCTGACGCTCGCGACACAGCTTCACCACAAATACCCCCTTTGTTTGGCCGAATTGATTTTGGTCAACTTATATGAGTCCATCAGTAATGGTGTGACTCAACTTAAGGTTATAGGGGACAGGGGGAGCCTGCTGCTATCTGGTCCTTTTTGGCTTCTCCAACTTTGGCTCAATGCCACCTTTGAATATTTCCTTCCTCAAAAGAACAAGATTAACGAAGAGGCCCCTGCAATCCTGAACATGAGGGTCGAAGGCACCAGGCTTGCACTGCTAACTCCCACTGATGAAGGCCAACAGTTTCAGAAGGCTTTCACAAGCTTCACAATGATGTTTGTGGAGCGAAAGCGCTTTGTTTCGACCATGGCTCCCTTTGCCAGTCGAAAAGTTGGTCCAGAATGGTTCACCAGACCATATCCTTCGAATGAGGAGGAAGACGTGACTGATGAGTTCGTGAGCATGTGGGAATCGTTTCTTCACCCCAGGATCATGCCATTGAGATTCAAGAGCTCAAAAATTTAATTGAGCTTGATCGCTTATCAACCAAATCTTGTCTCTCGACAATTTGGTATTACTCAGTCACTCCCTTCACCCATATATCCTCGAGAGAAGCTGCTACTTTTTTACAATGCAGACTACTCAAAAGATGCTTGTACCAAGCATATTGGTAGGTACTCCGATCGAACTATACTGACCCTGTTTGACTTTAACCTCGATTTTCTAAGTTCCGTTACTTTTGAGGAGTGGTGGAAACATTATTATGACGAAGAGTTCTTCGATGAGAAGGACTTCGCCCACCACCTACGCGAGGCATTTAAGCTGGTTCTCGACAGGGTCAAGAAAGGTATTACTCTTCCTATCTCTTTGCCTCAAATTTGTCTTTTGACACTCGGTTAACTATAGTTTTCTTGTCTTCTGTTTAGCTGTCAAGAGAACCACCTCGAAGAAGACCGCTGAGAGTATAAAAGGGGGAGATTCCACTGTCAACCCCTCTCCCAAGGTATTTACTTTCTTCCATACCCTTATTTTCTATGATTGTCTGACATGGGTACTGATCTCTTCGACTTGGTTTTCTGGGTTTCAGAAACCTACCCCCAAAAAACGGAAGGTTCAGAAGATCCAAATCTCTAGCAGTGAAGAAGAGGAGTCTCCTCCTGTTCCTTTGCAGAGACGAAGATTAAAGAAACCAGTTCCTGCCGTCGAACCTCGTCCCAAGATCAGGATTAAGACTACAGCTGCGAGGCCTCCTCCTGTAATTATCCAAGAGCCTACTGAACGGGAAGTGGCTGCTAGGCTGAACAATCCTAGCGAGAGTGATAACTCCAGTCCTGGTGCTGAAATCTTAGTCCAGGTATTTGCTTCGACAGACCATTATTTATCTCTCGACTCCTCCTTTTTATTTATGAGGATTCTGAAAGAAACGAGCTTCCTTAATTTTTTTTAGGACACTGCTGGCACTTCTATTCGAGTTCCTACTCCCGTTGACGGCTCTGCTACTTTATTGAATAGCAAAGGAGAGCTTACTTATAGGACTTCTTCAACGAAAGGCTCTTTCATGAGCTCAGCTGACGAAGTAAACCAAGCTTCTAAACCTCAGCACGAAACCATAGCAGAAGTTAATGAAGAAGAAGAAGAAGCTGTAGGGAGTCACGAAGAGACTAGGACTCCGTTGGTTGATGTGCAAGAGAATGAAGAGGAAAGTATTCCTGTTGCTGAGACTGTGACAGCAAGAGAGGTTGAAGGGGTCTCAGGAGCTGATGGCGGAGACAGTTCTACTGAAGGAAACCAGAATCCTCCAGGTACTGAAACGATTCCAGAGCAAGTGGCCAACATGGTTGTTACTGCCAACGAAAGTGTCCCTTCGACGGGATCCAGAACCAAGGAGGACTTGGCCTTGCTGAAACAGCAAAATCCGTTAGGTATCTGACTGCAATCCTAGAAGGTCGAGAAAGTTCCTTAGATCATAGCGCCTCAAATGCATCTGGAAGATCTACTTCGACTTCTCCTCTTGACAAGGCTCTTCAAAAAGTTAAAGCACAAATCTTTAAAAGAGATTTAATGTTAAATTTAGAGGGGGAACCGACGGCTCCTTCCTTTTTGAAGACTATCCTGAGGGTTGTCGATCTCCTTGTTGCTCCTCCGGATGTGGCCAGTGTAATCTTGGACTTACTCTCCATTGTTGACCAGGTAGCAGCGGATTATAACCGTCAAAGGACTCTCAATCGTGAGATTGAAGAAGCCAATGGTCAAGTGGCTGCTGCCTGGCATGCTGCTACTGAATCAACTTCTAAGGTGAAGGATTTATCGAAGGCCCGGGAGGCTAGACAAAAAGCGGTCGAGGAGATAGATCGAGATAATGCTCAACTGAGGGTGCATATTGCAGAGTTGGAAGCCAAAATTGCTGCCAACAACAAAAAGAAAGAGGAACTTCTTGCTGTGAACACTGAATCAGAGAGCCAAGAAGAATTGGCTGAAGGGTTAAGACATGCCGATCGAGCCCAATCTCTGGATGCTAAGATCGAGACCCTTCACCAATCGAAAGCTCTATGTGATTGACGACTAGAATTGCAAAGAATCAAATATCTCCAGATTAAAGCTAATCTTCCCTTTTGAATCCCGTTTCTCTCATTTATGTAATCACTTGTTTGTAACGATTTCAGAGCCATTTTGGCACTTTTAATGAAATTTTTAAGTTTCCATTTTGGCATTCTCTATTAAACAGTGACTATATATTATTTATTTTTACATCTTGAAGCATAGGTCTATACGTTTTCAGGTATTTACCATTCACCTTCAAAAGTCTTTGATCTTCGCTTAACTCTTCGATCTCATAGGCTCCACCAGAGAATGCTTGGACAATCCTAAAAGGTCCTTCCCACTTAGGGGACCATTTTCCCAAATTTCGGTCTCTTCGATCCATTGGGAGTATTACTTTCCAAACTAGATCTTCAGTCTGAAACGTCTTAGATTTCACTCTGCGATTATAGGATTTCTCAACTCGCTTCTTCTGCAGTCTCAAAAGATCCAGGGCTTTCAACCTTTCTTCGTCTAGGTCCACTAGTTCGTCCAACATCATACTCCAATAGACTTCAGAAGGGATCTCATGATGTATATGAATCCTTGTCGCCTGCAAGTGGATTTCCACTGGTAACACTGCATCATGACTGTAGGTTAGGCGAAATGGTGTTGTTCCTGTGGCTTCTTTCGGACAAGTTCGACACGCCCATAAAACTTGATCTAGCGTCTTGTGCCAGTTTATGGGCTTCTTTCCCACGTGTTTCTTTATTAAACTGATCACTACTTTATTTGCTGCTTCGACCTGGCCATTAGCTTGCGCATAATAAGGCGTAGACGTTAACAGTCTAAACCCCATTTCCGCAGCAAAGTCTTGCATCTTTCGACCAGTAAAGACTGACCCTTGGTCTGTAGTGATTGTTTCAGGAATTCCAAATCTATATATGATGTACTTTTGAATGAATTCAATGACATTCTCCTGGTCTACATTGACTAAAGGAATCACTTCAATTCACTTAGTAAAATAATCAATGCCCACTGTGATACGGTGGGAGAACTGACTAGGGTTTTGCGTTTGTTTTTGCAAATGTTTCGGTTGAGCAAGAGTCGCCACCGACTTTTTATTTTATCCTAAGGAAAGGTTTAAAAAGCACAGCAAAAACCTCTGAGATTTTTCTTGGGTTCGGGGAGTAGATTATAGAAAGGGAAGGTATTAGCATCCTTTCTATCCATGGTTATCCATGGGCTCTTAGGTACTTGCTTAGATCAACTTGCCTTGGTTTTCAATTGTTTGAAATGGTGCTTGATGTGTGGTTTTGAAAATGTTTTGAAAAGATGCCTTGTATAGGCTACCCTTGTAACAATTCTTTACTCGAATGTTTTACAAAAAGGTGTTTTGTCTTTTAAAAAGATGTTTCAAGGTTTTTTGAAAGTTGATTTTGAAAGTGTTTGTGAAGTGGGTTTTGAAATTAGGCAAGTGTTTTCTTTGCAAATTGGCAAGTACTTAAGAGTTATCTACCCTAAAGTTTTCTCAAAGATTTTTGTTATGTTTTAAACCTTTTGACAATTTTGTTCCACCATTGCATTTGGTGGACAATCTTGTCTTAGGAGGTGAAAGGGACGAGCGCGGGTCATCGTTTAGACCATAATTACAATAGTGTTAAATGTCTTTGAGCAATTTTCTTAAAAAGGGACTTGATCATTCATTTAAGCAACATTTTGTGGGACTATGATCATTTGATTGTTTGTTTTTACCCAAAGAAATTCAACATACAATATGGCCCAATTATTTGAAGGCAACAAAGTGGAATACCCTAGGGGTGCAAGTGTGAAATGTGTCGTCCATTTTTCATGCTCATTTATCTTGTATTAGGTCCAACTATTTTGTTCATTTTTGTTCGCATACAAAACCCTAATTCTAGCATAATATGTTTAGAAAGCGATAAAGTGCGAAATTTAAATTCCTACGCTATTACATCACAATAATATAGGGAGGGGGGTACAATGTTCAAATGGGGAGATATTTTGACAAGAAATTGAATCTAAGCTATTACATCATTTGCTTTGAGTATTTATAATATGAACGATTGCATAAATAAATGGAAATTGAAATAAATATGCAAAAAATATAAAAAAAAGAATTTTCATGTGTATATATAAAAAAGAATATTATTTATGTCAAGTAAATAAAAAATGAGAAAAGAATTATTTTTTGGAATATTTTCATATTTAGGGTAAAACCCTAATTCTATTAAATAAAACATACCATTTATTTATTATGAACAAATATTTATCTATATATACAAAAATAAAATGAAATGAGATATTTGTCCAAAATGTATTTTTTATATTAAATATTAATAAGAAAAATAAAAGGGGTATATATTTTGTATTTATCCTAAATATATTAATGAACATATGTATATATGTATTATTTTAAATATGTATTATATATATATATATATATATATATATATATATATATATATATATATATATATATATATATATATATATATATAAATAATAATAATATTTAATATTTTAAAAAATAGTATTTTTTGTATAAATATTTTCAGAAGGTAAAAATAGAATAAAAATGAAAATAAATGTGTTTTTACATATTTCTTAATATTTTTAACAAAATGTATACATTCCTTTATTTATGTATAAATTAGAAGAAAATCAAATAAATACCTAATAAATTAAAAAATGGTGAGGAAAAATATTTTTTGTTTTTTAATATTATTAACAAAAATAAATAAGTCAGAAATAAAAAAGAAAAGTAAAAAAATCAAGCAAATGGACAAAATGGGCTCAGGGGGTGCAATATCAAAAATATGGTGTGAATAAGAAAATAACACAGGCCCAGCCCACGTAGCATCTTCTTCAACCTTCAGCCAAAAATGTCTCAAAAACGCGCGCTTGTAACAGGGATTCAAACATCCTGATTCTTTGAGCTTTTGCACAAACTTTCAACACAAAAAATGTCAAGCGTGGAATCACGATTTCAAACATATAAAGAACATCTCCTAACTCTCAGAAATGAGAGAGAATTTTAACAATCCCAAATCTTGACCTAAGTTTTCTGCCATTTTTAAACCTTAAATTCTCTCAACTCAGGCAAAAGAAATGAAAAGTAAAAGGATGTACATGTTCAGTGGCATGAATAGGACATTGTTTATTCACAAACTTAAGGCTAATGATGCATAATAAGAGAGATACGAGTTCACCAAGATACCTGTTCAGCTGAAGTTCTATCTTGCAATGGGGGAGCTTTCAGTGCAAGGTGATGATTGGAAAAGCTTCCTTGAGGTCCAGGGATGCTATTCCAATGTTTACTTTGTCTTGAAAGCTTCTGAATTGTGCTAGAGCACTTCACCTGCAAAACAAGAAACTAAAAATGGTGGAAATGGTTAGAGGGATTACAGGTCGTGCTTCAGATCATGGTTAGCTTGCATAGATGCTAGGGGATGTGTATGAACTGGTTTGGGCAAGAAAGCTTGAGAGAAATGGGAGATAGCACTCAAACTGCAGGCTTTGCCCTGTTTGTGCAGTTTGAGAGTGATTATGGCAATGGGAGTGTTTGAGAGGTGCAAGGTCGTGCAAAAGCTTGGTTCTGATCCTTGGAAGGTGTTTTCAATATTTGCTTAAGGGTTTCTTGACTGATATGAGAGATGTGTTATGTTATGGCACTTTTCTTCACTCTTAAGCAAACAAAGGCAACTTGGTGTTTTAGGTTAGTAGGGGACCTCTAATGAGCTGCATAAACTCTCCTTGATCAGAGTGGTTTGTCCATAATCTTGTGCCCATTAGATCTTGCTTGTACTGCTTGGATTTGTAATTGGACATAAAGTGAACTTTTGCAAAAATGGATAGTTTGCTTTATCTATAAATGGATTAAACCTTCATGTAATGTTAGAACACAAAGAACATGGTCTTGGCACAAAGAGTATGCATTAAATTTATGAGTGTAATTGAGATAAAAGGCCTGTAATCAAGGGGCATGCTGAGTTTTGAAAATGCATAGTGTTATGAATCATGTTTTGGTCAAGAACAAAAGTGAATTTTTACCATATTGTGAAATTCGATTCTCTCAAGTTATGAGGTTGTTTGATGAGTTCTTGGACATTTTGGAAATCTTGGAATGTGTACTACAATCCATCTTTGAAATGCAAATTGAAATTCCAAGTGGAAGTGTATGGAAAATTGCCTTGAAGTGGGGTAGAAAACCTTGTCAAAATAGGTTAAAATTTCACTAAGTTAAAAATGGTTTAGTGTCCTTATTCAAGAATTTGTAACTTGAGATACAAGCTTCAAATTGGAAAACTTTGTGAATCAAAGTTGTAGATTATGCAACAAGCTACAACTTTCATGTTTGGACTTTTGTTTGAATCCAAATGGATCTTGGTG